TGTCTTGCAAGATCGGGGTTTGGGTTTTTGCCTCGCGGCAGTTGGTCTAATGTATCCAATCTGTTTAAGGTTTGAGGCTTCAAGTTTTCTGCAGCTTCCAGGGCATGTCTTTTCAACATTCTTCGACATTAGGGTTTAGGGTTTGCCAGTGAGCACTGCTCTCGGGGGCACTGATTTGATGTACTTGCGTCCAGTCACCCTGCCATTTTTTTTTGATTGCTTCAAGATTTCTTCTTACGCTAGTCTCTACCCCTGTTCTTAAGGGTTGCGATAGCATCAGAGGCCCCAACAATTTTGGGGTTAGCCTTTTTGAGGGTGCCGGGCACTGCAGCCAACAGCGCAGCTTTTTATGTTTGCCCTTTTGCAGGTTTGCCACTCCCGCCTCGTTTCTGGGATTGCTGTTTCCAGGCTTGATGATTTTTCCACAATTCACCCATCTGTTGGCTTGTGGTTTGCTGTCCATCACATCGGAAACAGGGGTTAGTGTTGTGCCTGTTCTTACTTGTGGGCCGCAGAGCTTTGCCACCTCCCCGCTTTGTCGAGTTTCTTCCTGCGGGTTGATTCTGGGTTTAGTGAACTATGCACTCCTCTTATGATTTACAGCGGTTGCCATTTTGCCTAGCAGGGTTCATTTCAGGTTTGGCTTTTGCACAACGTCTCTATCGATGGAGTGTGAGGTGCCACTGCCAATTCCAACTCCTGGGTCCTGTGTAGGTTTCAGTGCTTTAGCACTCCCCATTCGTGTTGGGGTCTGGGCTTCTTGCCTTATCATCCATGATGTGTAATATATTTCCGATTCAGAACGTGTTCAGTGTTCTTCGGGCTTATCACGCGGTTTCCGTGGACTCCATGCGCTGCATAGGCAAAGCTGCGAGTCTTTGGGTTGTTTATACTTCCTACCCAGTGCGTTTGGGGTTTTGTTTTGTTCTGTTGGCCACACCGTTTAGGGATTGCAGATTTCCACTCCCTTCAGTGCTCAGCATGTCGCCACTTTCCACTCCATTCAAGGCTTACCGGATGCCGGATGCCGATTCCGGGTTAGTTTAACATTCATCACTCCCAGTTGCCTTGCTTTAGGGATCATTTTATCAGTCGGGCACCTCCTCGGCTTCGCTGGACCGTGCCACAACCCAGAGCCTCCCCCCGCAAGCGAGGTTCCTCGGCACTGGGCCCCGGCTCGGCGTGCCCACTAGGGTAGACAGTAGAGTAGCGGCGGCGGTGCGCGCGGAGGGTGCGACGGATTTTATGGCTCAGATTCGCTCCCCTTTCAAGGCACCCGGTGTAAGAGTGGACTAGGACTGGCATTTCAATCATCACGGAGGTTATTTCCCAGGTGAGGCTTTTCCTTTTTAGAGCGGATTGGCTTGGCTTGGCTCGGTGGGCCAGGTGCGGTTGGGCCTTTCGTGGTCTGTTGTTCCCCAGGTGGCTTCGGCTTCGGCTTGGCTTGGCGGAGGTAATTTTATGGGTTCTTTCTGTCGTACATATGACATGCGTTTTTGAAGGCGTGTTTTTGCATAAACATGTGTATATATAGGTGTATCGAATAGCACTGCTTTTCATATTCTTTTGTTTTGACGATCAGGTTCGGGATTAGGGAATGCAGGACAATTGCGGGAACAACCTTCTTCTTTTTGGAACTCGCGGCTAGTTCGATGTGAACTGCCGGCACCGAGGCTTTCGTTTGGGTTTAGGATTTGTGGCGCATTTTTTCCTGATTTCACAACTCTGAGCGCGAACCAGTGCTGTCAAAGAAACAAGCCCGGCCCAACCGAGCCAAGCCAAGCTCTGCCATAAGCGAAGCCGCACCTAGGAAAGAACAAACCCTCTCCAGCCGCAACTAGAGCCGAGCCGAGCCAAGCCACACCCAAGAGCAAAGTTTAAGTGCTGAACTCGGTTTGTCAGTCTACACCTTTTAGGGTTTAGGGTTTGCCGCTCCGTGTTTTATTGAGGTTTAGAGCGCAGGATCTGCAGCTCTCCATTCCTTTTCGGGGTTTCGTTGCAGAAGGTTTGTTAATGTTTGCTATGAGTTTGCCATATCCCATTGTCGCTCTTCGGGTGTTTCTCTCCTGCTGGAGGTGATGGCTTCTGCCTGGCGTGCGCGCCCTTTAGTTCGAAGATTAGGATTTAAGTTCCTAAGGTTTGCCTTTCGGCAGAGTTTGTTTCTCCACAAGTTGTTTGCACTTAGCGACATGTCCACCTCGGCTGCACTTTGAATTTGGGGCTTGCCACTCTGCACTCATTGTTCCGAGTTAATCGGCTTTTGCCACTCTTGGCACCCTGTACAGTCTAGGCTATTATTCTTACCTGCTATTCCACGTCTCTAAGGTTTCTGCTTCCAGCTCCGTGCGGAATCTCTGCTTGCATAGTTGACGGTGTGCCATGCAACGCCACTTTCCACTGCCCGTGCTTCTCAATAATGTTCATTCATTCCCTTCCGATTTCAGTATGAATACTAAAATCGGAGCTTGATACACAACTCAACTGGATCCCTGGAGGCTTTTTCGGTCGTTTCCATTCCGCACAATATGCAGAAAACGCCATTCCTGACTCCTGGTCACGTCTTTTCATGGTTGGTGGGTTGCCACGCTTGGACCCCGTTGCAATGTCACAATGTTTGCCACTGCTCACCGATTGCAAACTGGACTTGGGGGTTTGCCACTTCGCATTCAAGTCAGGTGTTCTAAAAAAAGTCCGTCGGAAGTGTAGGACTTTGCCATCGTCGATTCGTTTTCGACTCTGGCCACTCCCATTTTGTCCTTCGGCTTTCAGCTTAACTAGGGTTCACCACTCCCACTGCAATACATTCGCTTTGACGTGCTCCTTTCAATTTACGGGATAGTCTTTGCCACTGCACGCTTTCCTGGTGATCAGGGTTCCGGCCTTGCCACGGGAGAGGGAAGAGACCCCACTGCTTTCAAAAAGTACGTATTCAGGCTCGCATGGAGGCCGTGGGTCGGCCTCACAAGGGGTTTGACCTACTTGCTGGGTTGCGAGAGAGGAGGGGGCCACTTTGCTTCTATTTCTATTTCTGTCGCTCGTTCTGCATCCCGCCCTGTTGTGCGTTGTCCGACTTCATCCGTGTTAAGGTTCCGACTGTCGACACATCGTGCGGTCCCCTCTGCATGGTGAGTGTCGTAAGTTGTTGTCGCCTTCAAAACAGAGTGGGAATTGCAAATTGATGTTAAAGAGTGAGTAAAGTTCAAGCACATCGCCCTAAGCTCCCTCTCTTTGAACCTGGGGGTATGTGGATGCTGCTGGCGCCAAGGAAGGTTTTCTTGAAAGAGGAAGGCGGTTTCCAATTGAGCGATCTGTACAGGGACATCCGCAAGGTTCCAGTGAACAGACGGCGGGTGTCAGGTTGACTTTCCGACCTGCAGGCTTTGCATTCAAAGCTTGCAGACGGATTTGCGATGTCTAGGTCTAGGTGTGTGCCCGCCGAATGGCGTCACAGTTTCCATTCCGGAATCCTTCGAAGGTTTGCGGTAACATCAGTCTATTTCGCGAACAGAGGAGCAGAAGAGAAGGATTCGTGAAGTGGTGCGTCCAGCACTTGTAGGAAGTTTTCTGTAAGGACGGAACTTGCTCGGTTGCAGCATCTGAAGTGGTATTCTAGTCTGTGCGGTCCTTTAAGCCCCGCTCTCGGAGAGAAGCATGGGCTTGGCTGCGGCTGGATTCTTGATTTTGCTTATTGGAAAGCCTGACGGGCGGACCAGTCGCCTGACTTCGCCGGGCATGAAGCTAATTCAGTGCATATGTTCAGGCCCCCTCAAAGGGGTTGCATGCACAGGAAAAACCAGTGTGCACCGCATTCACATGACACTGCTCCAACGTGTTGGGCTTGCGTAGAGCTTGCACTCACCACTGTATTTTCCTTGGCTTTTCATTGCCTTCCGCGGCCGCTTCAGTGCTTGAGCCAAGTGGCAAACGGCAGTTCCCGTGGTTCCGCTTCCGCCAAGCCGGGGGTTTTGCTTGTGCAGAACAGGTGGTTGCAGGAGATTGGTGCATGTGCCTAGCCGCCTCAAGTTGCATCCGACTTTTGTAGCTTCGAATCACCTGACCAATCAAGACAGCTCGGTGTGGGAGCATCAGAAAACTTTTTTGGCAGGCCACAGTGCTATGGGCGTCAAGAAGGCAACCACAAGGCAGACTTTTCTGAAACAGCAGCAAAAGTGTGGATTCCCAGGCTATGACTCGTGTTTGCCGCTTCTCTCTGGAGACTTTGAGAGCGACCCGGGAGGCAGACGTTGCTCTGTCCTAAGCCTGGCCGCTTGCTTCTGAGAAAGCTTCGTCCTCAGCCTGGTCTGCAGTCAGGGTCTGATCACGTGTACTACCCCAGCCCATGGATGTGTCTGCATGTTGGATGGTCTGATGCATATTGCCTGATTTCCAAAGGTTGTCGAGGCTTGTTCGCTCTTGTGTGTACGATTTTTCACCTTCCGGTGCACATCGCGGATCTTGCACTTGCTTTCATCAGCCGAAGAAATTCTTCAGAACCTGAGCCGCTCAGGCATCTCCCAAAGCGGAAGAGGTTCTCAGGTTCCAAAGCTCCTCTGGTGACGAGGCTTGTAGCAAGTGTTTTTGATTTTTGTCCATGTCTTCCCGAGCAGTTAGCATCCGAACAGCAAGGCATGCGCTTATAATACGTCTTGGGTCTGAGCTGGCGTACGCA